TGGTTTGGGGGACAATCAGTGGGGGGTTGCTGCCTTTTGGAGGTCCTTTCAAAGCTCAACGGTCTTTTGCAAAGGGCTAACACGATCCAATCAAATGCAGAGAATGTGTTCCTGGCCTGCAAGGTTTTTGACAAGTGTCGGTCATATATCAATAACTGCATGCATGCATGAGTGATATCTCGACCTCTTTTTTTTTATCATGGCCGATCGATCTCTAGATCTAAGATACATCACGAGGTCAGCTGAAATGGGGGCTGCGTTTGCGAAGCAGCTCAAACCCCATCGGTCAACCATGGAGAAGATGCGGAATGAACTCCAAAAACTGATCGATACAGCCAAGGCCTATATTTTTTGCTAGTGCATGGTGCCAACTTCTCCCAAACAACCAATTTAGGTTTGATCTCCGTGACAGGTGGGTGATGAGGACAAGGTTCTGAACAAATACAATGCTGCTGGGAAGCTGGCAGATAGTGTCACCGATGTGTTGAAGAAAATGAAAGTGTAGTGTAGGCCTAGGCCTAGCAGGGCTGCTGTATCTCCAGGAGTTGCAGCTTAGGATCCTTGCTTTGTTGAACGATGTCAGTGCTGCAAGATGTGATGTGTCTTGAGGATTGATGTACCCCAAATATTCCCATGACAAATACACCAGATCGATTTTGGTTTAACGTATAAGCTTTTAACAACTTAATGTTTTGTTTCCAGTTTCCAGTGAAGCAGCTTCTGACTTGCGTGTGAATGCACATGCGCTGGGGGTTAACACAACTGCAATAATGGCAATTGTGCAATTGTGGCGTTTGAAAGCTCCAGAGGGGTCGACCAATGCCTCAATCTGGAGTCTATGTCTTCTCTGGAAATCGATATGCCATATCGGTCGAAGTATCACGGGTCATCGGAGAAAAAACCGCATGCTTGAGAAAGCTAGCTACTGTACGGCGCACAGAGCGTGAGTCTAAAGATTTCGTGTGTTCATGCATGCATGTATATTAATTAGTTGAAGTTGCCCAAACGAAGCTTCGACTTGAGTAGGTGCTCCCGAGCGAGCCTTTGTCGTGGAGAAAGCCGTTGATGATGTTGGAGCTGGAGTGCCCTGTTGGCAAGGAGGGGTCAGCAAGCAGGAATTATATAAAAAACAAAAAGTTGGGGTCCCATTTTGTTGCCGTGATATGCCGTGATGATTCTCGCTAAGATGACTTCCTGCTCACAAGTCATGCAAAATATCCGAGCTCACGTGCAGGAAACTTGGCCATCAAATTTATGGCAATCAATGCTGGCAAGTAATTCATGAGAGTCATGAAGGATGCAATATATTTGCAATTATAGTCTATATAGTCTTCGATAGTCTTCCATGACTCACATCGAACTCTCAGGAAAGCAAATCAGCAGTTCATCGACATTCTCATGCACTTGGCACAAAATCCGGGAAGAATGATGCCCGTGACTTTTGGACCTTTACTGACATTGGTGTCGCGCCTTGGCCTTCTTCGAGCCGCGTGCGAGGTGTAGCACGCCAATCCTCCGCAAACCATTCTTATCAAGGGAGCATGCATAGCTATTGGGTGTCATTCCTGATTGGGCGTCTCTAGTGCCACCTAAGGAGATAGAGTATGTTGAAGTCCCTCTCCAACGAAAGAAGATGATCGCGATGGAAGCATTGCCTATCATCCACCCACATCGTCTCATATCCTATTTATTTGATCAAGTTGGTGTTAACATATTGGACTCCGATGTCGTGCAATTTTGGAGGCATGCCAGAGAGCATGGACAGGACTTTGCTGTGAACACCACATCCTCAGACAACCACGTGCCCTTAGGCCTGTATGGTGACGGGGCACAATTGGTTACGCAGTATCGCAAGGAGAAGGTAGTGGGGTTATTCCTCAACCTGGTTCTATATAGACCACGCTCTGTCCGTTGCAGTCGATACCTTCTGTTTTCGTGCGATGAAGACACCATGGTCAAAAACCGCACGCTTAATGCAGTCTATCGAAGACTCCTCTGGTCATTTCAAGCCCTGCATACCGGCTACAACCCCTCAACGAATCCCCCAGGATCTTACCTCAGCAAGGCTGATGTAGAAAGATCTGGAAAACCCATCACGGCAGACCATCGAGTGTTTGCAGTGGTAGAGTTTCGTGGTGATTGGGCCTGGCATAAACTTCAATGGCGGTTTGTGAAGACTGGATGGCAAGCCATCCAAGTTGTTTGTCTTAATTTGGTCTGGCTAAGTTTTCTATGTTTATTTATAGTTGTTCATTGCTAAAGGTGTTTGTTTGAAGCTGGGGTTGCCGTCGGAATCCAGACTGGCTACCTGACAGGTTTGCCATAAATGTCCGGCTCGATCGAAGGGGCCTCAGAGTCTTCTTTACCACAACAATGGAGAGGATGAGCGGTGGTCCCAGGAGGAATTCTGCACAGAGGAATTCATAGCCCTGAGATTGCCGAGCCGAAACATATGTGATTTGGCTGAGTAATATGTGGGTTGTTGGTGGAACCTTTCTTCGTTTTAGACCCCAAGAAACAGTCACCAATGTTTGGGGATCCCAACTGAGGCCCGTTAATTCTCATCCCTGGAGGATTCTCTCCATCGATGGTAAAATGGTGCAGCATGCACACCATCCAGTTGGGTATCCTATTCACTGCCAATGGGGCATGTTTGCCACTCGTCCTAAATATGCCAGATCCCACTACCAATCTCCCAAGGCCGCGGCGTAGACTGAGATGCTATGAGTGTCAAGCTTTTGGGGTTGCTACAGCTGGCTTGTGCATAATTTTGGGGATTTGGGAAGCCAGTATCGTCAAATGATGCGCATATGATGCAACATGCATACACAAGCCAACGCAGCAACCCCAGCGTCAAGTTCCTGCAGCAAAGGCGCATGCTTTGCGAAGATGTCGGCTATTTCGGAGCCGGGCCATTTGAAGAGCAATTGGACAGGTCCTATGCGAGCTACGTGGCATTTTGCCGTGACCACCGTATAAAACAAAGTCAGCCTCCGTTCACAGTCAAGCTTGCAGCTCTGGCTATGTTGTGTCTAGTTTTTGGTTTGTAAGCTATAAGCATATAAATGATAACTATATAAATTTGATGTAATGAGTTTTTTTGTCATCTTGCAAAGCCTAGATCGATAGATCCAGGTGAAAAAGAAGCATGGGCATATCCTCATGACTGCCAAAGCTTGGAATGGCCGATGTATCATGGAATGGCTTACCTTCTGCCTGCAAGATGCTATCGCTTTGGGTGACCACCATGGTAAGGACTTTTACGAAAGACTGGTGCTGTCCAGCTCAGCTATGAACCCTAGGCCCAAACTTGAAGAACATGGTTGCTATTTTGTTATATAATGAGCTCCCCAATAGATCAGATCCAGTATTTGCACTCAAACACACTCCCGAATCCCAACTCAGTCCTCACATCAAGGCCAGCACGCACGAAAATGCACTAAGGACTCATCTGACACGGTTCCATGTTTTGATGGAGACCAATGGGAGATATTTGAACCTTCCTCTCATGTTTCAGTATTTTTGGTTGTTTCCCCCACCACGGTTTCTGATCCAGATTGGAGAAATTGTTGAAACTGAAGTGAACCAAAGTTAGGAGTGAGTGTGCCGCCCAAAGCCTTCATGATGCTGGCATGCGCTTCATTGAGCTGTACAAGGCACTGTGCCTGCTATCCATGAGGCGATGGTGGATCAAAAACGACCCTTTTGCACGTGGAGATAGTGTCAGTGACAGGTCTCTCCTCATGGATTGGCAGCTCAAGCCAAAAGCCCACGCTACTGGGCAGTGTGCTGTGATTACATGTTTGTGATGTTTGTGATCCCTTTAGCTCCACCAATCCTGAAAAAGACATTGAACTGAGCGAGCGCAATTAAGGTTCTCTCGCATCTTTGCAAAGATGCTCTTCGTCACAGAGCCCCTGTCCAATTGTACTTGCTTGCATACATTTTGCTTCCACATCAATAGTGGGTGAACAAACACTAGTACTACTTTGGCCTAACCGCGGATGTTCTCCAGAATCCCTTGACCTCATCATACCAAGGATACAACCCTCGCTATTTTCATTGCTACTGTGATGAGGATGGAATGCGTTGGTTAAAGGGCATCATGGCATTGTCTGCAAAAGTGTTGCAGCTTGTTCATGCATGCATGTGCAAGCCTTGATTGAGGCATATGCAAGTATTCACATCCGCGGAGACGCCTGTGGTGGGTCTTGCGGGTTTCCAAGTTGAGGATGGGTAATAGTCACTGCCTATGGTGCCCCTTTTTTCCATACCAATTTAGTGTATGCAGGATCCTGGGCATGAAGCACCGTATACATCAGTTTCTTGGCATCTAAAGAATGCTGTGTTGAGTCGTTTCTGAATGACAAAGGGGTGCGCACATCAAGGTTGAATGCATCATCCCGAAGGTGATGTGATGCGACTTGAGGGTTTGAATGCCTTGAAGAGGCCATCACACTGTTTCACGCGTGAGGAACCCTGATGGAAGCTGAGAAAAGGGAAGTTGATGGGATACCATGTGTGATTGTTATGTGATTTGGTGTGATTTCAAAGCCTTTTGAAGAAATGGTCTTTCTGTCAACGGACATATTTAAAATGTAGGTTTGAAGCCCAGGGTATACAAAAACGAAACAATACGAATTATATATATATATACAAACACGGCAATGTACCGTACAAACTTCAACATGTTCCTCTTTCCGTGTCAGCATCACCCCCCCCGCCCCCCCAAAAGAAAAGAACACCACTGCACGACCCAGCACTGAAAACAACCTCAAAGACCTCTGAAGGACCTCCCTCGACCGTCGGTCCGTAAAGAAGGTCGACTTTGGGACCGGATTGACAGGATCTCAACGCCGGATCTAAACGCGGCCGAAGCAAGTTGCTTGGTTCCTTGCTTCCAGCTACTACAGTCTATACAGTAAGTAAGTTATAAGAATAAATAATCTAATACTTCTATAAGTCTATAAGTGATAAACCAAATATTAAACCCAAGGTGCTTGGAAAAGCTCAGGGTCCTCCAGGACCGCCACCATAAAGCCATGAAGCCTGGACTGCCGTGTGGGCTCCTCAGCCAGAGTCCCGGAGTTCTTCCACAAGTCCCGGTGATTCCCCAAAACCAGCTGGTGAAGGCAGCTGGTGAAGGGGATGTCAAACGGTCAAACATGTAGTGTAAGAAAGTGGTAAATGTCCTAATTTAGAAAACAACATTAAATTTCTCGTTGAATGGAAGCTGAAAGTTACACATCCTTCTGAAACTCTCTGAACCATGAGGTCAACTACGGGCTGGACGCTCTGACATCCATCGGAACATGGAAACATCGTTTCAAAAGTGATTCAAAAGGGCTAATTGCTTGGTCTAGTCCGCCAGCACCCACTCGGTATGACAACAGGTTCTCAAAAACCACCTGTTAGGGTCCCAAAACAGCCTGTTGGAGAGTCCTGGATATAGGATGCTGGAGCATGATGGATGATGGTCACTCGGCACATTGGGACCCAAGTTTTCCTTGTGCAAAGATCCAAACAAATCCAAAGCAACCGATACAACTCAAAGGACAAAAAAAACTTTGCCTTCCACTGACTCCTTCCAACTCGGTTGCCTTCCAACCCACCAGTCTCACACCAGTCTCACGCCACGCGCGGAGTTCCTCACGCCACGCGCGCCATGGGACTGCCATATTTGCCAACATTGGGCTGGTTTCAGGGGTCTATGTAGGAGCTCTCTCTCTCTATATATTTATGTCGTACATGGAGTGTCTGGGTGATGTAGTGAATCCAGGAGAGCAACACGCCACAACGAAGTATCCCCAAACGAAACACGATTATTGAGATGATATGGATCATATGGATTTCAATGATGGATCGTATGGATGATTAGAGTAGGGGGGACGGAGGACCGGCTATGGAAAAAGCCACACTGAGACACCGGCGTGGGCGGCAACGGGACACACCGGAGAGCGGCACCGTCGTTGGCCACACAGGAGGGTGCCAAGCATGTTTACCTTTTCAACTCGATCTCTTTACTGAATATTTTAAGGGCTATAATATATATATATACATATCATAGACTCATATACATATACATGTGAGCACCACACCCAACCGAGCTTCCAACATGAGTTGACACTCCTCCTTGAGGTAATGCAGCGAATGCTCCGAGGATTTCGAAGCTTGTCTCACCTGGTGGCTCACCTTGTAGACAAGCGTGCGGTGTTTGACCACATCATGGAACCGCCAAAGTCAACTCATAAGCTTTTCTATACTCATACAAAACCAATCAACATACCCCAACAATATGACGCCGCCGCATAACGCACTTACCCCAAACTGGAAGCTACTTGCTTCAACATGATCCAAACATCTTCCGTGTGAAGCGTCCTGGAAAAGTGAGCGTCCAAAAAAGGTTGTAGGTTGACACCTACCCAGGCCACTACTTAGAGATCTCCATTGGACAAATTGGTCCAGGAAAGTCTGCTCATCCAGCAGATCCAAACATGTTCATCCTGCGGCCTGTCTGTATGTCTGCTTTCCACCGGCGACCGGGAAACCTACTGTTGAACTGTCCGTGGAACAAACCCTTCGCAGTCACACAATTCCGTGTTGCATGATTCTTCATGATTCACTATATAGTCACATACTGTTGTATGATCTAGTCTAAAATCAAAAAAAGAAGAAACTGTCTCATGGGGCACTGGATGGTGCTGGTGCTCCACTCTTCCATCAAACAGTCAAACATCACCTGTGCCGGAGCGATCCTCCGAGAGAGATCGATAGCATCCTGGTGGAGCAGCTGAAAAGAGCATATCCTTTAGGTCAATCCGAGCAACCAGTAACAGTGGATGATGAATGCTTACTGTTGCAGGTCATAGGACATATCCACTGACATATCCAGTCTATCTATATGTCATTATATGTCTATCTATATGAGTCAGGTTGAGAGACCTAAAAAAGCTTGATATCTGAACCACTTTTGGAACATCCCAGTTCAGGCTCTCAAAGTCCCCTCACAACCGGCTGATGGGACCTCCGAGCTCCTCCAAGAGGCTCTCTCGTTCCACTCTTCTTCGATCAATGAGCTGGCCCTAAGAAAGCAGGAACTTTCTTTATGTGGCTCGCAAGGACTCTATAAGAACATCATCTGGGGTATGGAGTAAAGAACACTGACACCACCTAAGTAGGAATGCCTAGGATGCACACACCACTCTACAAACGTCTTAGAAGAGGCCTGCAAAGGATTGCAACAAATCGTGTTTGAGACACAACACAAGGAGGCCAAGCTTCGATCTTCTGAGCAAAGTCACTTGGCGTTTGTGGAGTCAGTACTTTTACTTCCCTACCTTCGGAGGTAATTGGCGACATCGGAGGATGGGAAACAACACCTCAAAGTGATGTGGCCACGCAATTACACTATACTATTATATACTATTAATACAAAGAAACTCAAACAAATCTTTCAATAAGACCTCAACAAGACCTGTGCCCAAACAGCCATGAACCATCGTGATAGATCGATTGCCAGCACAGTGACCCAAACTGCTATGGCTTGAGCTGACAAAACCACGAGAAATCACTCTTCACAACTTGGCAAGTCTCCCAGCCCTTTAAACAACCCAAGTCTGCCAGCTCCGCATGTTCCGCATCTTCACCGAGCATCGGCCAGGACAGTTCAAGGCTCATGGGTGAAAGGGGCTCGTTGGGTCGAAACGTCTCTCGAGCCGAAAGGAACTCCAAGGGAGACCTGGGTTTCACTTTGAACGCGCAAGGAGTGAAACCCTTCGAACTCTTTGTGTATCTTAGGTGATTGGAAGGACCTACAAACATCTAGAGTCTAGAGACCTAGAAATTTTGGCCTCCAACAATTCTTGATGAGAAACCTCATAGTCCGTGTTGGTCCGTGTTGATCCTGGATAGGTGATATGAAACCTCTTGTGAGAAAACACACGCACACACCCATTGTGAAGTGGATGCATTGCTTCGCCTGACAGTACTGTATATAAGTGGTCTCGCGTACAAGTCGCAACGGGGCCGCCGTCCCTCGAATTTTCAAGGCAAGAAGAGGAGAAAGGAAGGTCCGTCAGTTCCCAAGCCTATCTGCATCCAGCAAACATCAACAAACAATAACAAACACTACCGTAATTTTTGGTTTAATTCAACAACCATCCAACCTCGGTGGTGCTATGAAACCCATCCTCAAATCTCATCTGGGGACCAAACAAAAACAATGGCAGGCAACAGGGATGAGATGACCAGTTGTTGTGTTTCTCCCCATGTTTCACCCATGTCTCGTTCCACACCTCCCCAGCACTTTTGCATGAAAAATGAAAACTGATCTTTGAGACTTTCCCCATATTTTTCACCATTTTCATGTTTTTCCCAACCAGAGTGGTCTTTGGCTGAGCTGCTGGGGCTATGGTGGGTTTAGACGCCACCCATCTGTCTTAAGCCATCCGGTCGTCCAAGCTCCCGGACGTCCTTCGAAGCCTCGGTCTGAGTGATGACCATGGCGCCCGCGCCGTCGCCGAAGAGGACGCACGTGCTCCGGTCCGACCAATCCACGAAGCGACTCAGGCCTCGGCCGAACGAAAAACACCGGGCCGCAAGGGGCCCGGTCGAACGGGAAGTCCGTCTTTCTTGGAAACGGTCCGGGAAGGCTGTAATTAGATGGAAGGGCCTATCCTATTACCAGGGCGATGACGGTCAGTAATGGCCTTGTTCAAAAATACAAATAGTGTTTAATAAGGGGGTCCCATCACATGTGAGACTCTTCCCATCAGCAAGTGGAACTCAGAAAGCCGGGTGCGCTACATGGTAGATCACCATGCTCGAGCCACCATCTGAAGAGGGATATTCTGTTCCACTGATGGTAGCAAGGAAAGTAGTTCGTCAGATGCCTGGAGCACCACTAACGATGTTAGCTAGACCTCATGGACCTCGTCTAGCAGCAGTGGTGGTGAAGGGCTTGAGAACTTCAGGCTTGCGAAAGAGCAACTGTGCCCCAAAGGCATCTATATCCATATTACTATATTAAAACATGTATTGACATTGATATAAATTATCTACAAATTAAAGACCTGCAAGATTGTATAATTCATAGAATGTACATGTGTATCACTATATTAGTACACGTATATTTTAGTAAATATATATATATTGAACTGTGAACATTTATCTAGTTCTCATCTGACGCAGGTCTCCCTGAGCATGCAGGAACTTTGTTTATCTAAGGCATGCCGCGATTGCTGGGCTGGGGCAGAGACATGCTTCGACGTGGGGGCCTTGGCAAACTTACAAGGAGCCAAGGAGTGGACTACATGCTGGACTTGCTGAAGGCGCTCTTTGGACGTAGTTCTCAAGGGCTTTTGGGTTGCCCTTCGCACTCACGCCCGATTGTATCTTGGCAAGCTGTGGTTCTCTATAGGCTTTTGGGCTGATCCATGTTGATCCCCTGGAAACTCTGAGGTAGTGGGGCAGGCGGCGCAGTGTGGGCCTTGCAAGAGCTGATTTGTAAGAAGAAGGCTCGTTCAGCTTCAGAAATCGCAACCAATCTCAAGGTGAAGGTCGTAGCTGCAACAGGTCGAGCGCTGCCTTCACTAAAGTGTCTTCTTCAGAACAGTCCTCCTCAGAAGTTAAATGTCCTCCTCAGAAGTTTCTTACACTGCATATTTAGGATAGAACCAAACAGTGTTTGAACATGAACTGTCATGGCTGGACATGGCTGGACGGGACTAGGGGCCTCAACCCCACGCTCTACTGGTTTTGCCAGCCGCTAAGATGCAGGCAGAAAAAGAACTGCACTGACTGCACTGAAAGGTGCCTCATTTGCTTGGCAGAAAGCAATCAACACTTTATTAACTGCTTCAAACAAATCATACCACGGCAACATTCCAAGCTCATGAGCGAACGACGCGCCAAACCATTCTGGAACACTTTGTGGGAGCGCTGGAAAGGACTGCTCCTTTAAACGAAGCTGTTGGCTTGCCGTTTTCCAACTGGACATAGGATGGCCAACATGAGGAAGAAGTACTTGATAGCGTTCACCAAAACCGACAGTGCTCACTTAGGAGAGCCATCTACACGACGAGGAATACAAATACTCTTTGTTCAGAGGCTGTATGAGGCTGTTATATTTCTTGTTAACTGCTGCAAAAACTGTGTTTTGTCATTGCAACGTTTTGCGCGGAAACACATTGCGCAAGCCAGTGCAACCAGCTGACCCATCCCGCTGTGCGACACTTGACCTGCGTTGTTTCCACCTCAAGCCCGCAACAGCAGTGTGAGCACAGTGATGCTGCCTGTGAGGCCTGTTGCCATGGCTGCTGGATGCGTATCTTTGATGCCTGATGAGGATCTACAGATGGCCCACTAGAGCCAATCTAATGTTCCAAGCAAGAGCTAATCCTGCAGGTCTCAAACTATAGAAGTATCCTTCAGGTTGAACCTTAGGGAGAAGAAGATCAGCAATGGCACGCAAGCCACCGCTTCTTGAAACGCGCGCCAGCTGCTGAGAACAACGCTATCATGGAAAGCTTCTCGGAGGTTGGGGTCTTAATTGGGTTGCCACAGCGATTCTGTTTGTCTGAGGGTAGGGCCAAGAACATTGGGGAGGATACTTTACTATGTCCAGCAGGACTGGCTTTCAACGCTGCCATGCATAGACTGCAGACTTGCAATGGAAGTACATCGCATGAGAAACTAGTGCGTCTACAATGTAATTCATGTTTCCAAATATTGCGCGCGAAGAATTTTGCTTTAAACAGTAGCGAGTCAGTCATATTTTATGTCTTTTCTTTCACTGTCGGTTCGTGGCTCATGCTGCCAATCGCCAGCTTCCAGTGAGCTCAGGCCCAGACTTCTAAATTAAAGCGGACAAGGGCACACTGACGCATTTTGTGTCATGGTGACCCACTAGCTCGTTCAATCCTCGTGGTCATGCCAGTCCCAGCATGAACCACTGTGCTACTGCCTGCACAATTAAGTCTTCAGCCGGAGGCCCTACTTGCATAAGCACAGTTTCTTCATATTGCATGGGACCTCCACCTGAGTCAACCTCATTCAAGTCACAGCACAGGATTCGCCACAAGTGGGAGCCCGTGCACAAGAAGTCTGGCATCCTGCTTCACAAAACCCTGGTGAGCTCTCTCTTGTCGAGGCTTCATCAAGACAAAAAGAAGGAGGCTTGCAGAGTTCTCGGAAAAGGCCTTCGGCGTCAAAGTATTCATCTTGACTCAACAACACGTCGTTCCCGCAAGGCTGAGAGGAATGACGGTCTGTTAACTGACCAGCTGGACTCTGGTAGGTCCATGGCAGTTCCCTAAGGACAGGGGAGGCATCAACAACATCCCAGTGACAATGAGGATGTCTCCAACATGCCTATTACATACAAAAGGAGTCTGATGATCTCCTGAACTCACAGGCTCATTGACGATAGGACCAAACTCCTTTCCATTTGCATGATGACTCAAGGAGCTGCTAACATATGGCTGAGCATTGGCAAGAACTAGATTGGCAAGGATGAACAACCCTTTGATCTTAACTCGATGGACACGGCATCTACTAACAGGTTGTCTTGCCTTGCCAGCACTTCGGCACATGAAATCGAGGGCGACGCGTCCGGCGCTGCCTAATAGCTATCCCAAGTATTAGAAATCCACCCCAACAAAGATGCAGAAACCGAAGGCACGATTGCTCCTTGGAGGATGCAACGCAGCTCGAAGCTGTGTGCGCGTTCGGATTCGGCTTCTGGATCCGCTGCACCCAGCAACCCCAGGCTTCCAGCGATGTGTGCCTGAGTCCATTTAACCGCGCAAGAAACTACACATGCGAAGTCCTCGCACGGTCGCGAGTGTGCCGGGCGCAGCCAGATGCTCCGATGGCAACGTGATCTGGGCGTACCCGTTCGCCATCCTGGCGTGACGACACCGTGCGTCGCCGACGTCTCGCTTTGACGCGATGCGCGTCGAGCCTTTCAGGTCGCCGCGAGTAGCAAAGGGTTAACTGTGAGCTGTCAGTCTTCGATCCAAGAAACTACTGGGATGCATGGCGATACGTTCGTTCGCTCGTGCCACAGGAGCTCGCCAGGTACATGATTTTTCGCCTTTGCACTTACCAACTTTGCTTTGTATCTCTAAAACATATTCGTTGTTTAGGGCAAACAATCCGTGTGTTCTGACACACGCCTTAAGAATATATGGATCCTGATACTGGACACACTACACTCATCCTATTGTATGTCAAACTAGCAGACATGGTTGTAGAAAATCTTTTGCATTGATGCAGCAACCTCTTTTTTCCTTCGGTGGATGCTATAGAATTTACAACTACCTGACTATCGAGCTAAGACGACGTGCTTTCTGTCTTTGTTGTTACTGTGGACCGATCCTCGGTCTTGGGAGTCCCCTATACAGTCTTCCTTGGGAGTCCCCTCTTCAACTTCGACTTCTCCTCCTCTTCAAGTTGTATGTGCTTCGCGGTTAACACCGTAGAAGGCAGCTTGTGATCCAGGATGGGGTTCTCCATGTTGGAAAACTGTGTGTCCAAGAGGCCTGTGTATGCAGGCAAAACCACAGAGGAAGCCCGATTGATTTCAGTGACTTTCTTGCATGTCCCATGTTGTGTGTCACTTCAACCCTTTGTTGTGGATGTTGTGTTGCCAGGCATGCAATGGCTGGGATACGAGACATGAAGAAGACAGAGACAAAAGAGACAGAAAGAGATAAAAACGCCTCCCCAGAACCCCCCAAGCAAGACAGGGAAGAAAGCTGAACAGAAAGTTTTGAAGGTGGACCCCAGCGATGTGTATAGCCGTGTGCACCCGGCAGAGCGAACGGCTGGAAAGTCCAAGGAAGAGGCCGGGTTGAGAAAGTGTGACTCAGATTCAGAAAAAATGCACTGATACAGCCATGATATATTGTGTATACAGGTATATATATAGTTTGAAGCATGCATCTGCATATGGGTTCATTTAGTAATTATGAAGATCCACCGACAGGCGGCTGCAAATGCGAGAGATCGAGGCACTTCCAAAGTGTAGCTGAGCTGTTGACAAACCAATGGATCAAGCAGGGGTTTGCTTGAAAAAGATATTGGCTCATTGCATCCCTACCCATGTCTCCTTTGAGTTCTAGTTTGTTTTGGGCAGTGGTTTTCCCTTGTTTACTGACTGTTACAGGTACTGTAATAGTAGGACAGACCCAAGGTAGATGGATGGTTTGGGATCCATTTGGGGTTGGGGCCCGGTAGCGGGGGAGGGAAGGGATTGATTGCTTGCTTGGATCAAAGTTGAGAGGCTGTCTGCTTATAACACGATTTGTTCAACTGTCAGCTCCTACCTTCTGCAAATGTGTTTGGATCGACATAGAACTTGCGATTGGTTCATCCCGACTTCAATGGGGACATCTGGTGACCATATGTGACCATGACCGCGAGCAAGAGCAAAAAAAATAATGCACCACAACATCGGCCGTGTTGAACTCCCTTTATCCAACCCTTCAATCGCCAAATCGGAGTGGGGGCCAGTGGGGTGGCACGTACAAACAAACAAACTTTCAGAACTGACCTGCGCCGGTGCTGAAAATTGCCATCTCTTCACAATTGCAGCCTCAGTATACCCCCTTTCACACCCACCCGCACCAGCTCAAATGTAAAGTCTTGCAGGTAGGTCGTCCGACATAGAATCTTCGATCGAACCACGCGCCAGGCTCCAAAACATGCCCAGCTCCATGGTGCTCTCCCTCCCGTCCACCGCCGGTCGATCGGTCGTTCCACGGTCCCCACAGTCGGCGCCAACGACTAAGACGTTCTTGAAGGCGCCGGAGCCTGGGAGGAGCCCGGTCGGCCGGAACCTCCACGGAGTCACGGAACATAGGGGGAAGACCATGGAAACACCTATACGTGAATTTCGGGGTGGGAGAGGATCTAGTGCTTGTGAATTGATGACTTTTGTCGTACTCTCAGCCAAAAACTTTTGCTACCTTTCCCAACCTGGAGAGCTTGAGCTTGGGTAGTTATGAACACGAGCTGCGCGTCCGAACATGTTTGGGCCCAAACATCAACGACAGAACGGTGAGCTTCCTGCGACCTGAGAAAGGCCGCAGGGTTGGTCTTTCCTTCCCATCTACACGCACCGCTGAAAAGCGGAAAAAAACTCTTCAGAAAGCCTGAGAAGATCCCCAAATCATAATCAGTACATTTGAAACGGATCAGGTATAATGTATGGTATAAATAAAAGTATATATATATATTGTATCCTAGCACATCCATGTATGGCATCATTTAGCTACTACATAAAACATACTGCATTAATAGACGGGGTGAGGTCCACTTCCATGCTAGTTCCAGGATGTTCCAGGGTGAGTTTAAGATAGTTTAAGTACCAGCACTCTCACTGGGAGTCACCAGTTGAGGCCTCATTACAAAACCTGTAGTCTGCTGCTGGTAATGGATCGTGTCGGAACCTCTTGGTGGGGACGGTCATGATCGCCCTATGAAAGCCCTCGAACACGAACACGAGGGGCCGACCAACCCCCAAATTTCATAGATGTGGTCCAATCCACTGATTTGGATGAACAGTGCCCAGGAGAATCTTGGCGTCGAAAGAATCAGCGGTCCGTCTGAGCTTTTGGCGTCGACATCGAAAAGCGGGAGAACCGACGGACTGAACTCTTTGAGAACCGAGGGAAAACACAAACATCACAGCGACGAACATGTGGCTCCTGGAAAATGCATTCAGGCCCACAAAAGATTTTGGGATAGCTCCTATATACAGTATGTTTGGATATATTATGTGTTAGGAATATTTAGGAATCATGATATATCCAGATATTTTCTTATCAAAGATTGACTTGCAAGGCCACCCGCCAGGCTATATATGAGTCAAGAGACCTCAACAATCCTCAACACAAATACATCAATAATCATCAATAATCCATCCAATAACTAGTTGTCCAAGCCAAGCCACGCACGTACTGCGCCGCGGTCACCAGAGCAAACACGAAGCCTCCAGTGGCATTGATGAGCAGCGACGTGGTATTGCATTTCTCAGGCATTTTCAGTTACATGGGAGTACTAGAGTACATGGTCAATATTTTGGCCAGTCCGTTGGTAAATCCCCTCGAAGAGTTCAAGCATGGGACTGGCAAAGAGTTCAAGCAAAAACCAACGAAAAACATGTGGATATATATATATATATATAGAAATACACTGTGTGTGTGTGGTGATGGGGGGGCCAACAAAAACCACGCAGACTGTTCTTCTTCATCAATTACCATCCATATGTACGAAGGTATACGGTATGCTCCGACCACTGGAATGGCGCTGAAATACCTCGGTAGAAGAAAACACATGGAGGCTGGGGGCACCCAGGGTCTAAAGACCACCACAACATGTCCTGGCAAAAAAAACACTTGCTAAAAATATGGGTGGACCAGCAACCTCTGAGTCATCAGTGACCTTATCAAGGACCTGACCAAAGATGGTCTGCCTTAGATCATTGTTTCCCCGTCACAGCAGGTGAAAGGACATGCAATTTCAGGAGTTCGAGTTTTTTGAAGGTAGAACTACGTTAGAACTGTGGAAAGTAAGATGGACTGGATTTGGTAATTGCAGCATTCCGCAGTACGGAACATTGAAAAAGGCTCTGTTACCTCTAACTCACTCTGGGGCTACAAGAACAAGGGATATGCCAGGATTCTGTACATTACTGCCAGTCTGACATGTTCCTTCCATGTTGACATTTTAGTACCATCAACCACTTTCATGCCCTCTTATTCAGGCCTCAAACACCAAGCTCCCCACCTTCACCATGCACGCACCTCATCACCTCATCCGCGTACCTCGCACCTCGCACCTCGACCTCCTGGGACGGACGCGGACGCGGACGCACCGCGCCCGAGCAGGCTGCGGTGAGGTCAAAGGCCGTCGCCCTCTCAGCGCCCAGCAGCGAGGCGACCTGCAGAGACGTTCGGTGACGTCACCGGCGGAGTTGTTGGGCGAAAAGACACTGGAATCACGTCTGCCAGGCATTTTATAGAGAAATGGTCTCTATAAGAAATGGGTTGCAAAGGATAAAATCTCTATAAAAGGACCTATAGATCATTAGGATTCATTGGGGTAATAAATGGTAACCAACATGTGGGACTTGAAGGTCTTCTGTCCTCTGGCGGAATTCAGCATCTTGTGTGAAGAACAAAAAACGCATGACACCAGGACGAGGTGGCGTCAAAGCTTGACAACCCAGTGTGCATGTAAATGTGTTTAATTCAGCTGGCGAGGAAATACCACTTATATATTATAGTATACAGTAAACCCTCTTGAAACCAGGCTTGAATCAGCAAATGTCTTCAGGTTTTTCTTGTTTCTGCCAACCAAAAACTATGACCCATCCATCCGTCCAATCAAATCCAATCCAACTTCCATCGTCGCCTGTGGCCCACTCCCGAACAAATCGTCCGGAGTGGAGGTCGCATGGATCAAAAGATCAACATCTTCGGGCGCGAGCCTGGTTTTGTGCGGCCAAAGCGGATGAACGACTTGGCTCGGCTCGTGTACCCAATGTGGACCAATGTGGTCACGTGGACTGCTCCCGCCCACTATAAAAATATGGGAAGATTGGACAGGAAATGTTGTCCTGGACAATTTCATGGAACATGTCAACGCAAATTGGAGATGGTTTATGGAACGAGACGTGAAGAACCGTTCAGGCATCAATGAAAAAGGACGCAAACTTCCGATCTGGGACGTGAACATGCTTGAAAACATTAAAAGACAACTTTTCTGGAATTGGACCACAATAGGTGTCCCCGGGTGCCGCAGGTATGTGCTTGGCGTAATCAGAATGATACTGACACTAACACTTCAGAATGCATTGTTCCTTGATGTTCCTTGGCCATCTTGAACATTGTTTGTTGCCTTTACGTTATTTTTGGCGTCTATCTATCTAAGACTCCATACTCCACAAACAGATCCCAACGGCTCCCATGGAGGAAGAACGGTCGCTCCCGTGTCTTCGCCTTTTTTGGTCTCTGTTTGCGATGGCTAACGGCTAACGGTCGCACCAAACGCCAACGGTCGAACTGTCTTCGTGCAAGGCACTGGGCGTCCTTTAAGGCTTTCTTGGCCGCTTTCACCGACAAGGACCTCGGGACGTTCTCTCCGGTTTTGCGGAATCGAAGACAACCCGGAAACGTCCACCGTTGGTTCGTTGGTTGGTTTTCGAAGAGGTCCGGAGAGATGTACCGGACATAAACCATGGAAAAAACACCACCACCACCAGGCCCACCAGGGGCGGGTTTTTTTGGGGGCTGAAAAGGGAGCCGAAACGAGGGCGAAAAGGAGGTCGTCCGAAGTGCTCGGATGGTGATCTGTTTCAGGGGCCCGGACCATGGAGTACTGGAGATTGGGAAAACCACGGAATACGTGTTGAAGCCAGCAAAAGAGTTGAGAAGAACATGATCAAAGGGTGAATGCTGACCAGTGTACTCCAGTTGCTCCCTTGCCACCCACAAGGGGTGCCATAGTGCCACCCCTGAACCTCTAAGCAGCTAGGAAACTAAACACCCTTGTACAGTAGGCAGCATGCGTCTTACTTTTTGTGCCGTAACATCCGTAACCAGTTTTGAGATATTTTGAGCAACAAGCTCCCATCTAGAAACCCTTAGAAACGTCTAGCGTAGAGAATCATCGCATCATGTCCGAATCAATCCTCTTCTGGTTGTTTGAATTGCTTATAATTAATATGAATGCTATCTTTTTCCTTCTAAAGGCTGACACATCGACTAACCGTGACTAACCCCGTTCAACCCCCGACTCTTGCAGTTCTTCACGAACTTCCAACCCCACCTGCATTCACCAGTTCCACCCCGACCCACTACAGCTCTGCCAGCTCGACCTGGGCCTTCCGCACACCAAGCTCTCCTCCGGTTGGAGCACGTGCCGCCGCCGGATGCCGGTCCGTTGGGTGATCCACTCGTCCGTGGTCTCCATGACCTCGGAGAGGTCGTCGTTGGAGACCTCGGACGGTTTGGTCTCGGAAGAACGAGACAAAGAGAGGACGAGTGGAGACGTGAGGGGGGGTCGATGGACGATGTTAACACTTATGAACAACATCTTGTACTGATCGTATATGTTTTTTCTTTTTGTTTTTGTTTTTTTTACAAAGTGGATGGTACTTGTTTGTTTTATCCGTTATGATAAATGACAAAAAACACAAACAAATACATCCATCAGCATACATTGGCCAATAAGTGATCAATGAGTCGGGGACGTGATCACGTCTCAAGGGTGACATCACCTAGTGGAAGGGCCACTGACTGTTGTGACAAACCGAAATCGGAGTGTTCCGCCAAACGCTTTCCGGTGCACTGGGCTCCGCAGGAGAATCTCATGTAAACATGCTGCCGAACACCTCCTTTTTCTTGAGCTTCCCCAAACAACTATAATGTTCTGACAATAGACACTTCGCATCACTTCGCACGTCAGCTGGTACCTTCAGCTCCAACCTTTCCAGCGCTTCAAAGTACTTGACAGATTTTGGTGCCAATTGCGGGCACCATAGATGAGTGCTTGAAAAGTGCTCTTGAATGCTCTGGCGGTAGAGTGCTCAAAGCTTGGGAAGCACAACAAACCCTGCTCTGAAAGCAAAGGGCACTACGGTAATCACTTTAGTGCTCAATCACTGAGTCTAATATAGTCTGATAATGTTCAATCCAAAATATATAGTCAAGGCAAAGGGAATCATAAAATGCATTCCCAACAGCATTCCCGGCCCTGAATAGTTTTTAGATGTTTTTGGGGTGCAAGAATACTGTATGTACTATATACTACTTACTGCTACTACTACTAGTACGACTACGACTACGACTACGACTACCACTACCACTACCACTACCACGACGACGACGACGACGACGACGACGACGACGACGACGACTACTACTACTACTACTACTACTACTACTACTACTAGCACTAGCACTAAGCACTAGCACGACGACGACGACTAATTACTAAAGACTACAACTACTACGTACTTCTACGACTACGAGGATACTTTTGGCGGGGCTGTCCCTATTCATTCTCAGCTGTTGCTAAGAGCATCAGCTAGGCAACGAAAACATAATGATGGTTCAAGCTTGTTCCACCTGGCGGAACTTGACGAGTCAGAAGCCCTGGATAGAAACTTGAAGCAATCTGTGACCACCATGTTCATCCTCACTGTTGGAAAGCCGCCCAATAATATGGGGATGGGTCAAAACCTGGAGCCCCAAAACCATGTAGGTAGGTCAACCAAGCTTATCCTATGTTTTGACGCACAGCCATATACACAAGCACGTCTGGTGAACATCGCATCCCTGGAGTGCTTCTCCAACCTCACCAAGCTTGGGCCTCCTGGCCACGGTCTCCGGTGCCGTCGACCCGGTGCCCAGCACTGCGATGCCATAGGGCAGCGCTCGGCACAGCGCCACGCGGGCGCGCGCTCCGCGAGCTCCGCGGGCGCCGCGAGCGGCGCCCAGTGACAGTGCGAGGCCTGGAGATGTGTCCAGGCGGCGAGCTGTTCAGCTGACTAGAGTCGCAGGCGAGCTGGTTGATTGGATCTTGAATCTGGAGAAGTGCAAGGCATCATGAACTAGATGGTTTTCCCAAACATGGGCATCAACACAGATCCGACAGGGTCAGGCGCCTTCACTTCCCAGAAATACGAAGCTGTGTGTGCGAATGGCCGACTCTGTGGGGTGCGATATCGTATGGTGCTCAAAAAGAAAGTTACACCAAAACAAACCCTCTGGCGGTGTCAAGTGGTACTTGGATCGCAAATACAATATACAAAATTACATAAATAACTAATCGTATATTAATTCATTAATGGCTTGGTGGGTAAAAACTACTCAGCTCTTCTGGCTTCAAAAAGTCAGTGAGTTCTGAAAGTCGGTCCGCAAACTCATTTGACACTAGAAACTAGCCTCATCCGCTTCAGCTCAACATGTTCAAACAATCAGCCATCAGCCATCGAACCAGCTCCGGCCTGCCAATGCCTCTGGTCGCAGAGTCCAAGTCGCCGCTAGCGAGGAGCTGGGCGCAGCTGCGGACCCCGCGAGGACGGCTGGGTGCCGCGCTCGAACGGACCGTGCCCGGTCCGGAAAGCGGTCGGTGGAGACCGAACTGGAGGTGAAGGCCTGGGCGGAGAAGAAGCATGAGGAATATGGGTTGAAGGAGATTTGCAAGGAAGCTCCAAGAACAATTAGTCGCTGAATGTTGAACAAGCACCCTGTTGACATGCGCATGCTGCGCCCCATCTTCCTTCTCGATCTGACAGATTTCGCGAAATCCATTGGTCCATTGGAAATCCAATGAAATGCTAAACTACATGTTGATCCCACCTGCTTCGGTGATCAACATACCTAGCTCCCAGTTCTTGCCGCCTTCGCCCAGAAGGACCTCCCAGTGTCCCACTGGACGCGACCGAAGCGCCTGCCCCAAGCTGCCAGTCAGCAGCACTGCTAGGCAGCACCCCTGCAGCCAGAATTCTTGGGTGGGGGGCTCCTATTGGGGCTCCTACGGCATAATGTCAGCAAAAGATGGCCTCCATTTGGGGCGTGGGTCATCTTCGTCCAGATGGAGCATTTGGGAGATGGCTGGGTCATGGTGGGTAGCTGCAATTCGCTGCAAGTCCTTAACCCTCCTGAATAATTGAACAATAGAATGATGTTACGCAGATTCAGAGTTTCTTCCAAACAAAGCCATTTGCAACTCCTGGGTGGGTAAATGCCCGCTTTGTTGAGGGAGTATCAGCAAACGACCTTGCTTCCAGATTTGGTGCGGCGCAAATGAAACATTTCTTATTCTGTACATTTACTGAACCTGAACACAATCCAAACATAATTTTAGCAGATCAATTGAATCTCTCAGAACTGGCGTTTCATCAACCTGTCATTCCCACGGATGAGGCCAAGCGGCCAAGCTCTTCTGCACCTTCAAACAACTCCCCGAGATGAAGGGGTGCCTGAGTCCCTTTCTTGGAGCTCTTGGAGAGTGCCCAATCAGCTCCTTCTTCGGAGCCCCACCGGTTCTCCCACCTGCGGAGTCACCCCGCTCCGCGCAGCTGGAGCCTCGGCTTAAAACTGGAGCGAGAAGCAGGTCTCCCCAGCTGGGACTGGCCGGCCGATCAATTGGGGTCAATGTAGGTCCATGTTTTTGGTGTCTGGGCCTTTGAAGCTATGAGGTGAGCGTCTGAAATTGCCTGTATAGGTGGTACTCAGGTGTGTGCGCGGAAGTTGGCTGTCAAAAGCGTCTTGTCATACGCATGGTTTGATAGAGCTTGCAAGAACTCGCTCTGGGCTTGCGGACATGCCCGTGGCCATTCGCCATGGCCCTAAACACCTCCCCCTGGCGCCAGCTGGAGCCGGGACAGCCCACTCCATCTGATGGAAGCGATCGATCCTGGCATCCTGGCCAGCAAGCGATCGGATGCTTGAAAGCACAAGCATACACAAGCTGAATGCCGCATGCCCAGAACAGGCGAGTTACTGCACATCAATGAATTGTCACAAAGAATCCGGTAGGGTCATGTGATATGTGCAGCAGCCATTTGTTTCTATGTCTGTGGCATGTTCAGCCGTGCCCAGGGTTGGCCATGACTGCATAGCTGGGTTGGGCGTTGCTGCAAAGAAGCGAAAACCAGCTGTAGGGCAGGTGGTTCTACAAATTTACCGCCTTCACCAAGTCAACATCATCTGAGTAGTGAATCAGCGAGTCACAATCCAAGTCGAGTCTACGTGGATGATGCCGCATGAGTATCTTCTCCTGATTGGGCACTGGTTCCGGCGGGGAAATCCCATGTATTCCATGTGTCATTCAATTCCTGGTCTCCGTGGGCCCCTTTTCTCGAAAGTCGCGGCGACCTCTTGTGAGGGCCTCTGATTGGTGAAACACCAGTGATGTCTGCAAGCCAGCAACTGCCCTTCGCATCGGCCCTCAAGGCCGCCTACGGGTCAACTGGTGGTTTTCTGGGCATTTCATCTCATCCTTTTTGGAGAAGCCGGTCCACTCCTGAGGATTGTGCATCACGTGCCGGGCAGGACACCACCTTAGACCTTAGTATTACAAAATCTTTCCATGCAGCGCGAGCGCTGGCTTGCTTCTTTGCCGCCATTGGAGCCCGTCAATGATCAAACGTATCTGCCACTGATCCAACCTGGCAAATGAAACAGGTCATAAAGAGATCAGCCACCAAAACAGTCCCTCTAGATGTAAATAAAAATGATCAAGTGACAGTGATCTATGTTTCTTTTTGTGAACAGTTTGTATACATAATATATCATAATATGCTGCAGGGAAATCCCACCTCAGGACAACCGGCTTCATATTTCCGCCAAAATTCGCTCATTGACTCATTGACTACACTCTTGAGCATAACCTAGGCTGGTTGAGAAGGTTCTCTTCATATCAAGCAAAGTGGCTAGGAGTGTACACGTGTGAGAACAGTCAGTTGAATTCATGAATACAGTAGCAACGTTTTTCATCCTGGCCTGGGCTAAAAAATATCTTAAACATCTTAAAATATCTTAAACATGCTAGGGAGAACATAGAGGAACAACATCGTCGACGTCGGCCCAACCTCACCTGGGTCGCACGGTCCGGGTCTGGCTCCCACGTCCGGTCGCCCCCACGTCCGGTGCACTGAGGTGCCTCAGTTCAACTGGCGCTGCACGGCCAAACCCAAGGCTGCCAGTTCGGCCTCATAGCCACGAGCCTGGCGAGGGAGTTGTGAGAGCCAAGGCCGTTTGAGACATGCCACTTTGTGTGTGCAGTGTGTGTGTGTGTTTGTGTGTTCAATATAGGGCAAGAATGGGCTTATAGACTTATAGAAGCTTATAGATCTTCTTTACAAATGCAGCTCTTGAAAGGGCCCCACTCCGTCTGCGGCCATATGGCATAAGGACCGATGAGACAAAACCTTCACGGCCAACCACCACACACTCACCCAA